GAGCGGGGAGAGTATAGTGTGGAGGACCCCTGCGGGGCGGCCGATTCAGGTTAGAACATCGCGTCAAAAAACACTGCGACCGGACGTCGGCGTGTGGTTGAGCGTATATACTCTGTTCAGACTAGTAGACAACTATTTTGGCAAGCTTTAAAACAGTTGGACATCGCCATAGACCGCAAGACTGCGAAATAAATTCTTCCGCAGATAAGCCGACGCCAGCTGTTAATTCCACGAAGGATCAGTTGAGTGCCTCCTGTCAGATATCAGGGATAGTTATCATGAGTGATTTACATTGTTCCGATGTCGTAACTGAGAAGAGAATTATAAGCATTCATACTAATCATGTCCAAACGCAGATGAAAATATGTATGCGTGTGAACTAAGACGTCAAGCGGATATATACGTGCAGATCATAATTCCGAATTTCGAAGAGTTTTTTACTCTCATTGCGCTTTCAAATAATTAATTAATGCCATAGACTAAATTTTAATGAAATAGTTTTGCCTGAAAATAATATTTCTTAAAATGAACTTTTGAAGTGAACAGTTCTCGTGTTCTAGCTACATAAACACTACATTTATTTCATATGAACATTCTCCAGTTGGCAAAAGATTAAAATAATAGTCCAGCTCCAGGTATGGCCATTCTATTGTAAATGCCGCGACACTCCGATTTGTCAACAGGATCCAGAATACAATGATGTCCCCGCGCCAGCAAAGTTGCAGGTGGTTTTCATTGCGTTCCAGGTGATTTCGTCGTGGCTTCGATCTGAATACGTACGTATGAGCTGAGATATATGCATGTGAGAGCTGTTGAGCTTAGCACGTAGTATATATCGGTATCGTATATATAACGTATCGGTCCGTAAAACATTTTTTACTTTCTCGTTACGGAGTAGGGAGAATGATATGTAATTTTTAAGAAAAAATTGCGAGGTTTCGGCAAAAATTGTTTCACAGGGCCCCGGCAACGAAAAAGTGAATAATCCAGTTGCTGCAGTTAGAAAATATCCCCTATCACGTGATGTACCCAGTATCCATGTTTTGTGGGCCCTTGATACCGAAAAATTGAGTGACATAAAAACATCTGTCCGTCTGTGAACAACGCTAGTTATAAGATCAGTGCTTGCCAACGCAATGTTCTGTCACAGAAATCTGCTCTCCTGCTCCAAACCAATCCGAGGAGCAAAGGAAGTGCCCGACGCGGCGGCGGGCGCACACTGTTCCAATGGGGGTACGGAAGTGGAGGGGAAAGGTTCACTTGGAATATCGATCAGTAGTTTTTTAAATGGTAATTAATATTTAGAATGTTTATAATTCGAAAACAATATGAAGAATTATATAATAGAACATACATTATTATACAACTCAAAACAATATCCAACTCTTTATCATTACCAGTACAGTAATTCCACTTCATTTTTCCATTAGATAACATTTTTAGAAAGAATATGTATATATACAATTGTATATAATAAAAAAAGTTAGTTCGTTGTGAAACAATAATTAATGTCAACTAGGTAGGACACACATGCGAGAATTTGAGCCCCAGGCTTCATTATCTTTTTATGTACAGTTTTGTTTGAGAATGTCGTAAATTATAATGATTTTCAGTATATTTTCTATAAACTTCAATCTGCAAATTCCTTTACACATCCCATTTTGCGGGCTGTATGAATTCTCAATTTTTTTATATCTCGCAGATTACTCTTAGTCGCAAAGCTTCGTAATCCATCTGAAGCTTGGACTTTTTAACATACTACAGTTATTTCCAACACAGTAAACACTTCTCCATTATTCCACTATCTACAAAAGAAAACCATTGTTCCAAACCGAAAGAAAATTAACGGGTGTAGATTCCCACCCACGTTGCCTGAAACACTGACAAAGGCTCACAGCCTAAATTTCCGTTACCGGCGACCGCCGTCTGTCCCGCCTTCCCTGTTCCTTTTGCTCGCACAGCTTCTCCGAGAGTCTTCCGCGGAGGGGAATTCAATTCTGACGTTATTTCTCCTCCAGTTGACAATCGCTTGGCTAAACCGTTCAGACGATTTTCTACAAAGTTGATATTCCCCAATCGATCTGGCGATGTTGCGGCCCCTTGAATTTAAAACCGATATTTTAATTTTGGGGAATACTTTACATGAAGCCCCGGGGAGATTTTCCAAGTTTTCAAAAAATCACTCCATCCTTTTTTATTAAATTTTGCTGTTGAATAGAGTAAAGAACGTTTTAGAAAATGGTGCAGGTCTCGTGGTCGTTAAAAAAACATAACTGTTGAAAATTACATAAGTTCAATTTTTTTTAGTCTTCCTACAACTAAAATATGAAAGATAGATATGTTTTCCTTGAATGAAATCTACTGAAAAATAAGGTCATGAATATATATATTCATGACCTTATTTTTCAGTAATATATATATTATATATATACTCTAATATATATTATATATATATATATATATATAGTTATATAATACGTTCTGTAGGTAGAAGGTGCAGTCAAGTTCTAGCGAGCAGTCCACTGGTGAGTCCAATGCAAGTGCCGAGAGGCGTTTTTGGGGTGAGCGGCGGCCAAGGGTAAGTTTTTAAGCCGTTGTAAGTTTCCGGAGGGATGATGTCGCTTGTGCTCAGAGGCGGAAGGTGAGAGGCTATTGGGAACGTACTGGGAAACAATTTATTATAATATATCGGTTCAAAAACGTCAATGGTGGAGGACGGTACAACTACGGTAATGTACGAAGGCCGTAACTTAATCTGTAAGCAACTTTTTGCAGCAATTGGTTGTTACTATCGCCCCAATTTTCGGCAAGCACATGTGAAGCTACTCGTTGAGAAAGATTACTTTTTACTAATGAAGGGTGTTAGATGTTTTACAAATTGATGTGGGGGGTGGAAGCTGTTTTGCAGCCACGAATAGCATCATGATCAGGACAAAATTAAGGTCTCTTACTGTATACGTAAAACTGTTTAATAATGCTTTTACAACTTGCATTGAAAACATTGGTAATTGAAATCTGTGTTAATTTTTACATAAAACTTTTTTCTGCTGAACGAAGGTGATAGTTTTATCATGAGTGTGTAGGGTATTCCCTTCGCGCTTTGGAATCATTGTTGTGAAACAAGTGTTTTAGAATCTACGACATTTTATTAATAGTCATGTACAAAAGTTGAGGTTAACATTATTTTTTGCAATGATTAAAGCATCAAGCTAGCCTAGCATATTGTAAGCATTGGTTTTTGGTGTCAGTTTGTGGTTTATATTATTTTTTGTTGATGGTTTTTTTGAACAAAAGCATGTTAGTAGTTTTGATAGCGTCTTTCTGGGTATAAAATTTAATGTTGACTCAGGATGTTATTGATGTGTAAAGGACTCTCTTTAGCTCGGCATTGGCATATTGGAATGGTTGAAGTTTTCAATCCACTTGGAAGTGGTAAAAACATGTGGATTTGTTTGTAATGCATTAAATTTTTTGCATAATTGCATATCAGTTTAATGATGAGTTGCATAAACTGTTAGTATTTTTGATGTTCTTTTTAAAAATATTATTTCTGAGATGTGTCTTTTGATGTGCAGCTTGAGAGGAAATCTTTGTCGTAATATTGCAAATTTGGGTGGTTGGACACTTGCAATTAAACTTTGGAAAGATCAACATTCGAAAGCTTGTATAATTTTGGTGGGTTCATGTGGCAGTGAAAGCAAAGTTGATTAACTGATTGAATTTTTAGTTATGACATACTGTGGTATTAATATGTTCATCGCGAGACAAACACAGGGTGATCCTCTGCCCACTTCTCTTCTCGTTGTATATATTATATATATTATATATATAATATATAGTTATTATATATATAAATATTATAGATATTTTTTCCGAAATTAATTCTATTCTACTCCCACTCTTTATTACAGTTTCATTTCACAAGAAAATGTAGCATCTTCACTGATTTCTGGGTCAGTATCCTGATAATTTATGATAACGCATGAATAGGAAATCATGACATGGTGTCTTCATTTCTTCTCATAGAAACCAGG